TAGGACCCAGGCATCTGAATTTTAACCCAGCTTCCTTGGTGTCTCTGGTAGACACTAGAGTTTAAGAAGCATTCCTTTAGAGATATTGATTAATCAATTCATTTGTTCATTCTACCAGTGGTCTGTCTATTGACCATTACTATGATTCTGGCCACGTGCTGGGCACCAGGCATGACTAGAACCCAGATTATAACCAGCCAGATTAGAACACTGTCCCTGCCCTCAGGGATGCAAAGGACCAAGCCAAGCACATTTCAGTTCAGCACTAGGCAAAGGAGAGGACCCTGAATCTTTTTCCTTGTGGAAAGCTGAGGCACAAATCCCAGTTATAATTGGCTCAAGGCCTCCCAAACATAGGTCAAGACATTATTAATTGGTCATGGCCAAGAAACTAGGTGCACTCAAAGAATTGAATCCAGTGGTCTTTCAGGAACAGCTGTCTCAGCAGTGCCTTGGGGTCTTTGGAAGAGGGTGGGGGCGGTTGCCTGAATCTTCCTCTCACTTTTACTATAAGAAGAGAGCCCGGGCCTCCAGGGCAAGGCAGACACTACCTCAGCCCCAGCCCCAGGTTTATTTGCCCTTGAAAATGGCATTCGTGTGTACTTTTTCCCCTAAGTAAAAAAGTGATGATAGATGATTCACGACAGAAAATGGGCAAATATAAAAAAATACTTAAACAAAACCTCCCCCAGGGGTCTAACCACAGGCCGGTAGAACGTTGAGAGATTGTTTGAGTCATGCACACCTGGGATTCAATGCTGACTTCATGTGACCTCTGCAAGCCATGGCTTTCTCATCCGAAATGATATTGTCCACCTCATAAGACTCTTGTGAGGATTCAGTAAGTATGTGTGTTTATTATTTTTTCTGGTAGTCCAGAATATTTCTCTTTAGTCTTGTTCCTTTGTGGATGCCTGCATGTTATCTTATTTGCTGATTGCTTTACAGTACCCCTCCCCCGCTTTCCCAGGCATTCTGGATGTCTCTGTTAGAGGCAGGGCTCTGTCTAGAGAAATCCTAGCTGAAGAGAGAGTGGTGGTGGAGCAGGGGTGGTAAGAGGGTTGGTGAGGGGCCTGAATTTGGAAGATGAGCCCCGGGGCTCCTTCTCAGCCCACCTGCTTCCCTCTGAGGTTTAGGCAAAACCCAGAGTTCAGAGGGCCTGACAGCCTCCCTGTGGCTTTCCATCTTGGTGTGCAGCTATGGCAACCGTTCTTTCAGATTTTCTGGGACGGTTCTCCATGGCTTGCAATCTAGTTAGCCTAGCCCGTATGATATTGGACATAAAATACCAAAACACAAATTCTATGTGGCAGCAGCAGGGACGGTGAGTATAGCATTGTATAGGAAGTGTCATTGTAGCTCTATTTCTGTCCTTGGGAGGGAATCAGGGCTTTTTAGTGTTATGATACCCGTCCAGAAGTTATTCCTTCTGCAAAAAGAAGCAGCTCCCTCCTCCGCCGTGGAAGAAGCACAGAGTTCCGGTGGGTTAGCTCAGTGTGGTCCACCGTACAGTCCAGCTTTGGACTGAAGTAGAACTGGGATCAAATCCCCGCTCTGCCAATTATCAGCTGGGTGAATTTTTAACATTTCCAAGGCTCTCTTTTCTCATTTTTAGATGGGGGTGATAAAACTGATCTCACAGTATTACTGACAATAAAGGAGGCAAAGTATGAAATGTGCCTATCACAGTGTCCAGCACATAGTCCTATTCCGATATTATTTTCAATATATATTTTTTAAAAGATTGGCACCTGAGCTAACAACTGTTGCCAATCTTCTTTTTTTTTTTTCTGCTTTTTCTCCCCAAATCCCCCCAGTACATAGTTGTATATTTTAGTTGTGGGTCATTCTAGTTATGGCACGTGGGATGCTGCCTCAACGTGGCCTGATGAGGGTGCCATGTCCGTGCCCAGGATCCAAACCAGCGAAACCCTGGGCTGCCCAAGCAGAGCGCACAAACTTAACCACTTGGCCACGGGGCCGGCCCCTATTTTCAATATTTTAACATTGGAGTGCACAGAGCAGAGAGAAAACCCCTGTACCAGCAAATAGACAACTAGCTGCCACAACACAGCAGTAAGAACTCGTCAGCAGAACACACTGGAGGCAGTGACTCTCCCCAGTGCTGCTGCTGCTGAGGGCTCAGAACTGCAAGCAAACAGATGCACTGTCAGAGACCGTGAACAGCCTGCAAAGGGCACCTGACAAGCCCAACACCAGGAGCACGTTGTAGTCCAGATCTAGGTGGCCATGAGGAGAGCGTCAGCCAAACTCAGGCAACAGAGAAGATGGGAAATACAGACTGGGCCAGAAGAGAGACTACTCTCTAAACAACGTTTCTCAGGTTATTTGTGGTGAAGGACCAGTTTTCAAAAACTGTGTTGCAGACCACTGCTTATATTAAAAAACAAACACACAATAAACTGCTTGGTGGTGTCAAATTGCAATTAGAGTTTCTGAATGCTTACTTTCAATTTCTGCACTGACCTTGCAGGAACCAGTGACAAGCAGTACTGAACTGTGAGTAGCACCGTGTGAGCGGCTGACGAGGTTTTGTTTGTTTGATTTTTTTGTTTTTGTGTGTGCTTTATTATTATTGTGAACTCAGACATTCCCCCATTTTCCCAGGACTCCTGGGTGACGAGGTAGTGGGGGTGGGGGTGGCATGAGAGTGGATGGCGGGGGGCCTGAATTTGGAAGTTGAGCTCCAAAGTTCCTCCTCAGCATACCCTTTGCCCTCTGAGGTTTAGACAAAACCCTGTTTATATTAATAATAAATATTATATTATAATAAATAATAATATCATAATAAATTTTCCCTCCAAAGGGCAGAAATACAGCTGGAATAACACTTCCTATGTAGCCCTATTAGTCCTTTTGTTGTCTTCTTAAAGTCTTCACATAAACAACCTTTCAAAAGTTTATTATAAATGATTTTTGAAGTGCACGGACCTAGAATGGAGAAGCAGCTGTTCTTCTTCCTTAGACTCTAGTCAAATGTTATGTTATCACAACTCATTCCTCCTTGGGCCTGCTGCCCATCCTGCCACTGGATGGTCTCAGCTCTGAGCTCTAGCCCCATCTCTCTCCCAGCGCCAGCCTCACATCCCGCTGTCAACTGGAGGGTCTCATCTGGATCTCCTGCCGTCCTTCAAATGCAGCATGCCTGAAATAAACTTCAGTTCCACTCCCCAACCCCTTCCCCCAAAGAGACACAACTTCCTAAATCCCTATTTCTACCAAAAGTGCTATTACTTTACTGGGATACATACACTGGAGTAATATTTGACTCTATTCTCCACTTAACCTTTTATAGGTGAACTGAGCCAGAGGTTCACCATATGTCTCCTTTGCCTTCCTTCTGAGTGCTATAAGCACCAAGGTTAAGATCATCTCACACGTAGTCCATTGTTTCATTCCTCTAAGTAGCTCCCCTACCCTCCCTATCATCTCTCTCATTGCGTGTACCAAATCAGTCTTTTTAAAAAACACAGTAATGCTATCAATGACCTGCTCACAAAAGCCTTCACAGGTTCCACAATCCCAGAAAATAAGATCCAACCTCCTCAACCAGGTTGCCCCTACCAACTCAGCCACATCTACAACCACTTCCCAACGTGAACTCTTCACTCCAATCCAGGCCATTCTCTGCCCTCTCCTTCCAGCCTCTGAAGCTTTTCTTCCAGGGGGCCCAAAGTGCTGCCTTCCAGGTAGCTTATTCCTCCCCATCCATCAAAGTTGGACACAAATCCCACTTTTCCACAAAGCCATGCTGCCCTTCCCAGCTCACACTCAGCTCTTTTCTTTACCCACCACTTGCAGATCTTGTCCATGCCTCATGTCTGGTCATATCTTAACCATCTGTTTCACATAAGATACTAACGTCCAGAAACTTCCTTTTTCCTCTTTGGCCCCCAACTCCCTCCCGCCACCACCACCACCACCACCACTGCAAAGAACCTAGGGCTGTGAATATATCAGTGAACCAAAAAATACCTAATGAATCCAGAGTCAATCAAAAACAGGAGAAGAAGAGGAAGTCAAGGAAGAGAAGGAGAGAATAGAATTCTATTTTTCTCTTGGATGCCCAGATATGTATCTTACTATCTCCCAGATTCACAGACTATTTCAACTGAAAGATCCTTAAAAATCATTGGTTCCAATGATATGAAGCTGACTATGAAGACTTGGTAAAAACTAGAAATAACATACTTGACCCAGAAGAGACAATCCAAAAGGATAAATATCATTCACTAGCTGTGTGACCTTTTGGAGTCACTTAAATTCTCTATTCTTCAGTTTCCTCATTTGTGAAGTATGAATAGGATAACATTTACTTGAGGGGCTATGCGAGTATTAAATGAGATGATGGGTGTAAAGTACTTGGACAGTGCAGAAACAGCTCAGGAGTCCTTAGGGGAAAAGATCCCTGCCTGTCTTATATCACAGGGCTGTGCTTCGAAAAACATGTAAAGCAATATTTCCCAAAGGCTGGTCCCCACCTATTAATGGGTTGCAAGATCAATTTAGTGGGATGTTACAAGCATACATACATCAGCATCTATTTCTATTTTGGGTCGTGAAATAAAATGTATTTCTAACTACGGGTCACAAACAGTTTGAAAGGCACTGGATTGCAGCCCTCTTCAAATAAAAATGAAGTGGTCCACAAAAGCCACGTGCAGAATGCTGAGCGCTCCTTTAAGAAAGGACAATTTCATCTCCCATCTTCTCTGGACCTTAGTTTTCCATTGACACCACAATCTTGCTAACGTTTTCTTAATTTTTCTCGCATCTGACATGTGATATAGACCACTGTTGCTACGCTAATTAAAACAGAGAGACTTCCCTCGCATGGAGGCCTAAATTCTCCGTGCCTATGGTCGGTTCTGGTGTGTGTCTTTCTCCATCAGATGGAAGGCTCTGAACACCTCGAGGAGAGAGGGGAGCTTCTGATTTTGAAGCCTCTTCAGCTGGTAACTTTGTCTTGCATTCTGCAGTGATTCCGTCACCCACATTGTGGCAGAAAACAACTCTGGTTCAGATGTCCTGGAGTGGCTTCAGGTACAGAACATAAAAGCCGGCTCACAGCCAGAACTCCTGGATGTCTCCTGGCTGATAGAATGTATGAGGGCAGGAAAACCGGTGGAGATGACAGGAAAACACCAGCTTGTTGTAAGTGTCACGGTTGTGAGTTTCATTGCCCTTTGCTTGATGATCAGGAACATGTGCTGTAGAATCAACAGACCTGGGTTACACCTCAGATCCTCTGCTTACTCCCTGTGTGTTCTTGGGCAAATCACTTAGCTTATCTGAGCTTCAGTTTCCTCCTCTGTAATATGAGATAACAACAGTGCCTACCTCATAACATGGTGATGAGGATTAGAACAACATGCATGTAGGGCACTTCCCGCAAACCCCGATCAATAGTAAGCATTTAATAAATGGTGGCTATTTAGGTGAACGATCTGTAAACAAATATTTCAAAATATTGAAGCCTTGATGTCTGGCAGCTGGAAAAGTAAAGGGTTCCTATTTGGTTTCTTACTATGATCATTAGCAAAGGAAAAAATAAAGAAAATTAATGTCTTAATTCCAAATCCTTCACCAATGGCGCTGGAACCCTCAGAAGAGGGTTTGAACCATAACTGCATCAGTTTACAGAAAAGGATAATGGTGTCTAATTGATGGGTCTGTTTCACATTTTTTTTTTTTCTGATGGCAAAAAGAATACATCTTAATTATAGCAAATTCAAATATTCAATATGCTGCCTCTAACATAAAATGTGACTCTCCTATAATTTTATCCTCTTTCCAGAGACAACTGCCATCAAACTGCCTCCCGTTTTTTCTTCATACGTATCTGTTATTATTACTATTGATTGTTCTTAATAATGGATGCTTATGCATTTGTTTAGGTGAGAAGAGATGATTCAGCTGGCCCCAACCCGGGCCCCCAGGAGACTCCACCGCTAGTGAAAAAGATCTCTCCATACGCGTGTCAGAGAAGAACCACCTTAGACAACTGTAACCAAGTGTTCACGGTAACGGGCTTTACAACAGCACCCAGAGCAAGCGAAGCACTTGCAGCTTCTTTCCAGGGACCTACAACTTAAATCACAAATTTTTCTGAAAATCTAGATAAGTTTTCCCTCCACACCCATCCCCCAAAACCTGATCTCTGGTTCTTCTTTCTGTCAAGAATGGGTCTACTTCTGTCATGGAAATGGACAGATATATTTGGATTATATTCTTTAGCGATGGTAGATTACTGTTTGTTGAGAGTTGTCATTATTGGGCACAACACTTGTCAAAGGCAAATGTTTTGAAAAACCAAAACATAGTAAGAGCAAATTACATAGAAACAGCAATAATGCATAAACAGCCTTTGCTGGGAAACCAGAAGAGTGAGAGACAGCAGACCTAGATTCTCGCCTCTCTGGTATTAACTAGCTTGGGCAAGTCAGTTCCTCTCTCTGAGTCTCAGTTTCCTCATCTGTTCAATTAGAAATTAGCTAGATTGTCTCTAAAGCCCCACCCAGCCCTGAAGTTTGGTAATTGTGTTTCAGATGACCCTAACAAGCCCACCACGGCCTGTCCTCCAGCCTAGAGCCAGTAGTCAGGTGGATAAAACAGGTGGAGTACGTCAAATAAAAAACTTCTCATTTCTAGACTTCCAGCCCCACATGTACGAGGAGGACCAGGAAATTGCAGCTACTGGGCAGGATGAGCACGGTGCCACACAGCTGCATCTACTTCCTCCTCTGCTAGAAATGCAAACGTGCCTTACCTTAAATAACCCGGCCTCTGCTCTGTGCCACCTGCGATCACACCCGTTCGTTCAACAAGGCTGCACTAAGTGCTGCTTGTGTTTTATGTACAAGCTAAGAGATGGGGAAGCCCAGTGATCAAGGCAGAATCCCGGCCACAGGCTGGTAGGAAAGTCAGTGAGCAACGAGGGAAGGACCGTGCCGAGTAATGACCACTAGGATATAGTGAGGACGGGATCGTGTTTTGGTTAAATCATTCCTAAATATCTAATGGCAGTGAACTCCAGGTTTCCTTACAAAGTACTCTGCAGCTTGTCTTTTCAATTCAACTCCACTTGCCCAACAAGGGACGGGTGCAAAGGTACCAGAGACTCAATCCCGGCCTTCAAGGAAGGGTCAGGCGGTGTTCCAACCCTTCACAGAGAGCAAGAGGCGCTTGTGAGGGACTGCTAGTTCAGGGACTAGAAAGCAGATCATGTTTTGTTCATCTGGCTTTATTCTTCAGGATGCCTTTGATGTATTGGCTGAAAATTATGAGTTTAGAGAAAATGAAAGCTCCTGTCTGACATTTATGAGAGCAGCTTCTGTTCTTAAATCTCTGCCATTCACAATCATCAGTATGAAGGACATAGAAGGAATTCCCTGCCTGGAGGACAAAGCGAAGTGTGTCATAGAGGTAAGGGTGAAATGTGATTTGTCCCACCTCCTAATAGGTATGTGGTGGCGGGGAGAGAGAGAGAGTGAGTGAGAGAGAGAGAGAGAGAGAGATGCAGTTAATACACTTTCCTGTCAATTATGTAGATATGGTATTCACGACTTATCTTTCTTTCTCTCTCTCTCTGTATATATAAGATATAGATAGATAGATGTATATTATATATATGAGATAGATTATAATATACACGCATATATATGTATAATCCATACCCCAATATTATCACAGCTGGAGCTATGTGGGTCCAGCTATTGGAAAAAGAACCCTCTCATATTATTATTAATCATGGTGCAAGACTCAAGTGACCTAAAAGCTCAACAGAAGGAAATGGTCTGACTTCAAACACAGGCTGTGTGAAGGACCTCAGTTTCTCCCAGGGGATGTCACCCTCCAGAATGGTGGTGGGTGTGATGGCAGTGGAGCCGGTCCTGCATCCCTACCTGGGCGTTCCAAGAAGAGAGCCAAGGATGGGTGTTTATTTATTTAATAATGTTTAAGGATTCCCCAGCAAGGCAAGCTGGTCATCCAGGAGTAAGTTTCAGTATAGTTAAGTGCAAGGTAAATTATTCTAGAAAATTAATCCCAACTCTATTTGGAGAAGGGTGGGTGGCTCTGAGCTAGACATTGTAAGGGCTGGAACTTGGATTGGCTTTTCAATGGGTCCAAAACTGACCTGCTCAGATGAAAAGTCCTCTTGTTTCAGCTAGTTCATATCCATTGAAAAGAAAATTATCGCAAATATTTAGACATACTTTACTCAGTGAATATTTTGGTTAGGTGTTCTGTAGATTTGCACACTAATCATTCTGTAACTTTGTCCCTGAGGGTTGTAATGACCTGGGATTTTCAAGATTACAGGGAAATGTCTTGTTTTCTCCAGATCAGCTGGGGAAACAGCCTGTATGCAATGGATGTACATTCATGAAAAATCAAGCTACTGGTTCCATGAATTTGAGCATCACAGACTATGATTGTTAAACATGACTAATTTAAAATATTTTTCAACTGTCCACGCAGGAAATTATTGAAGATGGAGAAAGTTCTGAAGTTAAAACTGTGTTAAATGATGAACGGTATCAGTCCTTCAAAGTAAGTGATTTTACGTATACTTACTGAAAATCGTTTTTCAGTTCATCTGTTACTCATTCTAGGTGGTTGTTTTAGTCAGCATGAGCTGCCATAACAAAATACTGTAGACTGTGTGGCTTAAACAACAAACACTTTTCTCCCAGTTCTGGAGGCTGGAAGTCTGAGATCAGGTGTCAGCAGGCGGGGTTCTGGTGAGAGCTCTCTTCCTGGCTTGCAGACAGCTGTCTTCTAAATGTGTCCTCACATGGCAGTGAGGGCTGAGTAAGCTCTCTGGTGTCTCTTATCCGGGCACTAATCCCCTCATGAGGGCCCCACCCTTATAACCTCATCTAAAACTAATCACCTCCGAAAGGCCCCATACCCAAATACCATCACATTGGGGGCCAGGGCTTCAACATCTGAACTTGAGGGGGACACAGTTCAGTCCATAGCAGTGGTCTAGGAAGCAGAGTGCTAAATGAATATGGGTGCTCCAGCTTATTGCCATGCTGTGGTGAGGTTCAAATTACCTTACCCACCAGGAGTCTGTCACTTGTGGATACAAATATGGTGACACTAGCACCATGGGACAAAACGACCCTGCTCTTAAAGAGTAAAAGTATGCTGGAAAGCTCCTCGCTGCATCCTTGTCTACTTTGAAGCCGGGTATGTTACCTCCCCATTTTCTCTACCTTAGAGTTGAAGGCAGCAGCGACTGCTACCAATCACTTCAGTTCAGATGTGATGCACAGGCCTAAAAGGTGATCGTGGGCAGGAGCCCAGGCTTGGAGTACAGACAGACTGGGTTTGAATCTGGGCTCTACACTTACCAGCAGTGTGATGGTAGACAATTTCTACAACCTACATGCGCCTCCTCTTTAAATTGTGAGGGTAAATATGCAGAGCATGAGTGTGTGTAGGAGACCCTTGGTAAAGGGCGTGCCCAACAAGGATAAGTGTTGTCGCTCATTGACAGCATGGGCAATCCCACAATCAAAGCCCTATGCAGATGCCAGAACCTGCATCCTCACTTCTGTTTCATTTAGTACAACCACATGCCAGGAAAGGACCCTTCTGAAACAAAAACGTCTCTAAAAAACTACCATCACCCACCTGCTTGTCGTATTCTGGAGAAACTGGGTCAGAGATTTTCTTACACTTTTTCTTAATCGCTTGACTTGAAAAGATTCACTTCATTATCATAATGATTATTTTAGAAACTAAAAGTATGCCTTTCTCTCCATTTCAGCTCTTTACTTCTGTGTTTGGAGTGGGATTGAAGACGTCTGAGAAATGGTTCAGAATGGGTTTCAGAACTCTGAGTAAGATAAGGTCGGACAAAACCCTGAAATTCACAAAAATGCAGAAAGCAGGTAAATTGTGTCTCCTAAAAACCTCACGTTGTTGCCATGGGCCAGCCAGGTTGTGGTAGAGGTCTGTCTGTGGTACTTCAACTCCAGTCTCAGGGAACCAGCTCACTTGTTTGGCCTCTTTTCATACTATGGTTAAAAGCTCAAGCTTTTGGCATCAGTCAGATCTGGATCCAAATCCTGGCTCCAGCATTTCCCAGTTGTGTGATCTTGAGCAAGTTAGTTAAAATCTTTAAGCCTAAATTACCTCATCTATAAGAGGGAGGTAACATTGGCACCTCAGTGGGGAATAAATGAGATACACAGGCAAAGCCCTTAGCACCAGGCCTGGCACAGAGCCTGTCCCTTTATCCAGATGTCAAACCAGCTTGTGCAGTTGATCTGGTTCTTACTGAACTGACTCTTCCAGACATTTGGGTCCTTGCTGTCTCCCTGGGTGAGAAGCGTGAGTGAGGAGTCAAGGGCAGAGAGTCGACATGGAGGATTGGGGAGTAAAGAATACTTCAACAAACTAGAGCTGTTGCCTGGCACAAATGGGACCTGCTTTGGAAATTGTAAAACACTAGGGCATAGAAGGGAAATGGTGGAAATCTAGACACAGGGTTGATCTACCCAACCAAGACCTGTTAACCTGAGAAGACTGTCTTGAGTCAGGCATCTGAAAACCTGGAGGGGCCTCCCAGAGGTTGAAGGTGGCTTGGTCACTTCCGTTTAAGCAGGGTCCCAGTATATTTTTTTAAATGAAGATATGCCAATACAGGGTCAAAAAATTGTATGTGTTTTAAACATTCACTTTTTTTTTTTTAAAGATTGGCACCTGAGCTAACATCTGTTGCCAATATTTTTTTTTCTTTTTCCTTCTTCTCCCCAAAGCCCCACAGTACATAGTTGTAGGTCCTTCTAGTTGTGCTATGTGGGACACCACCTCAGCATGGCTTGATGAGCAATGCTAGGTCTGTGCCCAGCATCCGAACCGGTGAAACCCTAGGCCACCAAAGTGGAGCGTGTGAACTTAACCACTCAGCCATGGGGCCAGCCCCTAAACATTCACTTTTAACATGTAATATAATTGTGATTTGAAAAAGAGTCATGGCCACAGTGTCCTGAGCACTATGGCTTCTGAGTTACAGAGAATGATGAATTCATCAGCATTTTTAATGATATGAAAGTAAGGGAATCTTCTACAAGAAGAGATCAGAAAGAAAAAGAAAATGGCTATCTTTTGTTTAAATAATGAAAAGAAAGCAGCAGTGGGAGAGGAATTAAGTCAAATCCCTTGGTGGGTCACACCAATGCTACTACAGAAGACACCTACCTATCTTTCATAAGGTTGCTAACCTATGAAGGATTGCTGATAAGCTTCATAAGATGCCACAGAAGAAATAAAAGAGTTTAAGAGAAAAAGACCCCATGCTTATATCCTGGGCTCCTGAAATTGCACATTTAATAAACGTCATTTACACCAGTTCTAGAGACGCCATTATAAAGAAATTTACATAAGTATTAAACACAAGTAGTGTTTAACTTTTTTAATAACTATTTTAAGTAGTTTAATAAGTATTAAACACAAGGCTTGGAATGATATTAAGGACTCTCAACACTTAGAGAGAAATTGGGAGGCAATGCAGTGTTTCATGGAGATGAAAACCCTTATCAAATGACACCAAATGTGCTCAGGATCTAAGTAGCTTCCAATTTCCCAGCTTGGTAGACTGGATTTTCCTCTTCCTATTGAACTCTTCCACCCCAGCGAATAAAGTAGTTATTATCCATTTAACCAATCAGTGATTTCCATCAGACTCTTTAATGCTCTTGTTTTATGTAGAACTGAAGGAATGCCTTCCTATTATACTTATACCTAAAAAAAAAACAAACCAAAACAAACAAAGAACTCCTGGGTATATGCATCCCTTGTAACAGCACTACAATGAATGGAATTGTCAATGGGAATAGTTTCGAATACTGCAAAGGATAAGCTAATTAATTGCATTCGTTTGAAGTATGATCCACGGGTCAGATGGAAAACCTGATTCAATTTTACTATAAGGGCACTTGGTTTTAGTCTTAGTCTTATGACTTAGACTGTCTTTAGACTCAGTCTTCCTACGTCTTGAGGATTCACCTCCTGTACTGGCCTTGAAAAGTCAACGTCTAAAATACAGCAGAATGTATATAACACTATGCAGTGTAATAAGTTTCTTGCGATAAGTTAACCTCCCACCATACCAAAAAGGAAAGCCAATTAAGTTGCTTTCACGGGTGTCAACAAATTATCAAAGCCTCTCCAAGTTCATTCCTCGTATCGGCACATGTTCTTAAATTGTTAATCACGACTTTTGGTTTATGTACACCCTGAATAAGCACAGGAGTTTTACAGTACCAAGTGTGTTGTACTTTGAATATCAGTCAAGATGACAATTTTTGTATCAAAAAAGAGTCTAAATGAGCATAGCTTTTTATTTTTTTCACCTTAGTAAATTATTTAACTTTATTAAATTGACTTTTTTATTGTGGTAAGAACATTTAATATGAGATCTATTCTCTTAACAATTTTTTTTCCCATTGGTAACATAATTTGTTTGTCCATTTCCTGTGATGAACACTTATTTCCAGTTTTTGACTATCATGATAAAAAAAAGGTGCTACGCACATTCTTGTACCTGTGGATATATGTCCTCATTTCTCTTGTGCATATAGCTAGGAGTGAAATTTCTGGGTCAGAGGATAAACAGCTATTTATTTAGCTCTAGTAAATACTGCCCAATGGTTTTCTAAAGTGGTTGAAGCAATTTACACTCCCGGTAGCACTGTATGGGATTTTCAGTTGTTCCACAACCTCACCAACACTTGCTGTTGTCAGTCTTTTCAATTTTGTCCATTCTAGTGGGTGAACAGTGTGATCTTATTTAGTTTTAGTTTGCATTTCTCTGATGACCGTTTCAAGTACTTTTTGGCCATTTCCTCTTCTAAGAGGTGCCTGTTCATGTCTTTTTTCCCTTTTAGAAGTAGATTGTTTGTCTTTTACTTATTGATTTGTAGGAGTTACTTTATGATCTGGATGTAAGTCCTTTGTCAGATATATGAAAAGCAAATATCTTCTCCCAGTCTGTAGATTGCTTCTTCATTTGTTTAATGATGTCCTTTGATGAGCATTAGTTCTTATATTTAATAAAGTTCAAATTGTTAATCTTCTCATTGTACTTAGTGTTTTGTGTGTTCAGTTTCAGAGATATTTGCTTACGCCCAAGATCATGAAGATATTTTCCTCTTTTCCTTTGAAGCCTGATTCTTTTTAACTTGTGCATTGAGGTCTATGATCCACGTCACATTCCTTAACAAATTCTTAAGTACACAGTAGAGTACTGTTAAGGATAGACGCAATGATGTACAGCAGATCTCTAGAATTTACTCATCCTGCATAACTGAAACTTTGTACACTGAACAAAAGCTCCCCTGAAGCATTGCTTTTTCGATTAAACTCGCCACACACAAAAGTGGCCGCATAGCAATTAAAAAAAAAAAGTGGCTTTTTACAAAAAAAAAAGAAAAAAATTTTAGGATTGATATAAAAAACAATAGTGTTCCACAAGCAGTGTGGTTTGGTGTTAGGCACAGTTTATAGAATTTATCGAAGTTTCATAAACAGCCAAAGTAAAACCAATGAATCATAGAAGTAGTAATTAGTAGAAATTTATTGTGCACACACCAAAAAGTTTGCAAACCAGGAGTACTCCAACCAAAACATGTGGTGAGGCTCAGGGGTATATTGTAAGGCAGCTTATAGAGTGAGAAAGTAGGCACTGTTTATTCTTCACAGCGATTGGTTATAATATTAGAATTTTCAGTGGTTACTCATATCAACCTTGGGAAACAGTTTTGCTTATGATTTCCAGAGGCAAAAGCAAGAGATGACCCAGGTCAAGTTAGCCTTGCAAAATAAGCTAAATTAAGCTTTGTTTGTATGACTAAACTGGTTTTGTCTGCTTAGGGAATTTTCAAGGCTGGTCTCCTTTTGTTGTTTTTCTAACAACGTATTAGTTTGAACAACATCTCTTGGTCCTGCCAACACGTTTCTGCAACTGTCGCTATTTAGAGATAATATGGGAAGTTCGAATTTGAGAATTTTGTGACTATGATGTTCAAGCCAAATGGCCTCCCTGCCTTCTCCCTCCCATGATCCTGGAGGCGAGAAATAAGGATTAATAGATTTGCTCCATGTCTTTCCAGAGGGCTAGTGATGGGTGAAACTGCAAGAAGTAGACTTAAGTTCATCAAAATAACAAATTTTTGATGCCTCTCCCTTTTTTGGTGAATACAATTAAGATCTACTCTCTTACCAAATTTCAAGTATACCACACAGTATTATTGACTATAGTCACTGTGCTGTGCATTAGACCTCCAGAACTTATTCATCCTGCGTATCTGAAACTTTGTACCGTTTAACCAGTCTCTCCATTTTCCCCACCTCCAACCCTTTGTAATTACTATTCTCTCTCTGCCTCTAAGAGTTAGACTTTTTCAGATTCCACGAGTAAGTGAGATCACGCAATATTTGCCTTTCTGTGCCTGATATATTTCACTTAGCATAATGTCCTCCAGTTCATCCATGTTGTTGCAAATGACAAGATTTACTTCTTTTTAAAGGCTGAATAATATTCCATTGTATGTTAATTAGCTTGATTTTGGTAATCATTTCACAATGTCTACCTATATCAAAACGTCATGTTGGGGGCCGGCTCCGTGGCCGAGTGGTTAAGTTCATGCGCTCCGCTGCGGCTGACCAGGGTTCGGATCCTGGGCGCGGACATGGCACCGCTCATCAGGCTACGTTGAGGTGGCGTCCCGCATCCCACAACTAGAAAGACCTGCAACTAAGATATACAACTGTGTACAGGAGGGTTTAGGAAGATAAAGCAGGGAAAAAAATAAAAAGATTGGCAACAGTTGTTAGCTCAGGTGCCAATCTTTATTTAAAAAAAAATCATGTTGTACACTTTAAATATATACAATTTTTATTTGTCAATTATACCTCAATAAAGCTGAGAGAAGAAAAGATAGAGCTGCCCAAACAGACTTTACAGTTAGGAAATGGGCTGCCTCTGGAGGCGTTATTCTCATTATTAGAAAGATTCAAGCGGCCTTTGAATGACTCCCTCTTGGCAATCCTAGCTAAGACAGCAGTGCCGTATATTGAAGGACAGATGTCCCTCAGGCTCTATGAATCTCCCCTGCACCCCTGCTCCCCTCCTCTGCAAATTTTCATCCCAATTCTTGGAGATAAGGCTCCCACCTCCTTTACTCCTCCACTCTATGCTTCCCTCCATAGCTCTGTGGGGATAACCAAGTTACGAAAACAGCTCTTCATCACAACGACTCTCTCTGAGTTCTCATTTATTCGTGGTGGCCAGACAAGGAAGCAACAAGCCAAACCACCAAAGACATTTTCTATCTCACCTCAGACACAAATCTACCTTCTTCGTCTTCTCAACTTTAATTTTTTAATGCATCCATCACCTTCCAACCCTAAATCTTCCCATCCCAAATCTTCACGCATTATCTTTTTAAAATAATAGGGCATAGCTTATTGATCAAGAGGGCTGGTTCTTCAACAGGAAGTCAGATTTGAACAGCTTGGTTCCCAGAGGGATATGAAATATTGTCTCCTTCTTAGTCAGGAAATTGTAAGCCTCTCAGTCAGAAAGCACAGAGCCATTGTTAACCTAAAAAATTCACAACCAAGAGAACACAGATTACTCCATCACATGCGAGGTGTCGCTCTCTCCATTGACCTGTCCAATGGCCTCTCAGGATTCCTCTATTATGAAGACCTCGTCAGCTGTGTGACCAGACCAGAAGCAGAGGCGGTCAGCGTGCTGGTTAAAGAGGCCGTTTGGGCGTTTCTGCCTGATGCCTTCGTCACCATGACGGGAGGATTCCGGAGGTAAATAATGAGGGCTTTTCGTGCCTCTCCTGCTCTATCACTGTCAGTGGCTCCCTGTTTTTAGAAGTTCAGTCTTCCGAATGTGGCACAAAAGGCCTTCAGGGATTTGGCACCGGTGTCTCTCTGCAGCCTTCGCCTCCTGGACCTCATGTTTCACTCCAACAACTCCAAATAGCTTATCATTCTCTGCACACATGGAGCTGTTTCTTGCCTCTGTGACTTTGCTCAATCGGACCCTTGTGCTTGGACTGGCTTTCCTCAAATTGTCACCTGGCTGACTTACCCTTTAAGACTCAGTTCAGATGCCACCTCCTCCAGAAAGTCTTCCTTGACTCCCTCTTCCCTGTGCTGGGCTAGGCACCCCGACTCAGTGCTCCCTGGACAGCTACCAAGTAGCTTGTTTGTATGCATGCTTTCCCCACTAAGTTTTTAGAGCTTGGTGCTGGTGAGAACCAGTGGACCGGTTAAGTCAATAAATGAATGAACTCTTCACAGAGATGTGTGCAATTGTTGGATATTGAAGTCTCCATCTCAGAAAGAGATTCCTCCCCCCGCCCCCAACTCTCCCTGTGGCCCTCTTACCTGTCGGCTGTTGACTGTTCTGCCAAGCCAGGTTTGAGGTGAGGGAGAAAGTGGGGAGAGAGGATCGAATCTAAGAAAATGCCCTTAATCTATGTCATAATTCCAAGAGCCTGATCTAGATTATGCGGATATAGTTCTTGGTTTGCTTGTTGTCATGCTGTGTGTGTGTGTGTGTGTGTGAGTGAGTGTATAGAAGAAATAATCTTCTTCGTCACCTTTTAACCGCACATACATGACCATATACCTACTATGTATGATTTTTAATTTTTCTATGTCATCAATTTACTTTGCAATAAGTAGAGTTGTGCAACCAAGGATATTTTGCTTAAAAAAAAAAATCATGAGCATTTTGTGTTGCAAACTTTAGGCCCAGGGCATAGAAACAAAAGTGACTTTTAAAAATCGAGAGCTAAAAAACTAATTGGTTTCCATTTTACACTATTTTTTTTAACAGGGGTAAGAAGATTGGGCACGATGTAGATTTTTTAATTACCAGTCCAGGATCAACAGAGGAAGAAGAGCAAGAACTTTTATCTAAAGTGATAAACTTATGGGAAAGGAAGGTAAGAAGAAAGATCAAAAGTAAATGTTTGGATGCTCAAGCATTATATTAATACTGTTGAATTTTATATGCTATTTACCTTGTGTAATGACCATCTAATTGATTCTCAATTGTTTGCAACACAATTGTTGCTTACACAATGCCACAAGGCATGCAATGAGACGTACCTGCTTTGGGTCCCAGAGTCCATGTTATGATGTTGTTTATATACACTTGTCCTATTATCAAAGGGGCCAAGAGTGGTGATGTCTTTGTATGGGACATGCAGAGGCATTAAAGCCCTAAATAAAATGAAAAGCATGTGCTGTGAAGACCTGGGAGGTGTGAGCCGGGGCGGAGCAAGCTTAGGGGTGGGGCAGGGCTGCAAAGACTGGGATAAGATCAGTCTAAGAGGTGTCCCTGGTGCCTTGAACTCTATGCTGGTCAATAACACCTTGACTTTGTGCTGAGATGGGAAGAATAAAACTAATTAGGGCAACCTGTGCCCAGCAGAGGTCAGGGCTCAGAAGCCCCCACCCTTTGAGGAGATCAGACTTGCCACAGGCTACCTATTGTCCAGTGGAGGAAGCTAAGAATGACCCTGCAGCCAAAGCCACCTACAATGCTCCGACTCCTGCCCAACTCTAGTGAGAGCTTCACTTCCCAAAGAGACCAGAGGGACCTACCCCTGGAGGCCCCAAGGGCTGAGAAGACGGGGGCTGGTGCTTTTCTGGCATAGCTTCATCTTTCCTGTGTGATCTAGCATCTGCTGGATGTGGACCAAGCTCCCTGATATGCTAGAGAGAGAAGACCTGAGATAAAGTGAGAATAAGAAACACATAACCCTGGAGCCAGGAGCACCAGAAGTGAAGACCCAGCTTTGGAACCAGATCCAAATTCACCCGTGAGGCCCACTCTGTCCCTCTCAGGAGAGTGGACCAAAGGCAGCCAGGAGCCCTGAGACAGAATATAATAGGCCAAGCCAGGGAAAGGCAGGATGAGCAAGAGTCAGCTACACCTGGGCTGGCCCCACGGCTCTGCTCAAGCAGGGAAGGCAAAAGATTTCATGGATAGACAGCAAAAGTCATGGACCCTGCTGGCTGAGGCCAGGGTGGAGGGGCGGGCTGCCTGGCTCCCCACCCTGGGGCTCCTGCAAGCGTGGACCTTTTGACCCTGGTTTATAGGCACCACCCTCCCCATGCTCTGAGACTATCCCAGTCCAAGATGAGGATGGAGTGGGGACAGGGTGACAAGGAGCCTTCTTTCCATTAGTCTTTCCTCAGTTTTGAGGCAGTCACACTGCTGGCCCCAAGCAAAGAGATGGGTAGGCACCGGGGGAGGTTGCCATTAAGCACGTGGGTTTTAGATTTGGCATTTTAAAAGCACAACCCTGCTATTTAATGGCTGTGTGACTTGGGACACTTAATCTTTCCAAGCTTCTCTTTCCTCATCTGTAAAACAGGGATAGCAAGCCTCTCTCATTTCGTTAACGGGGCGGAGTAACTGAGAGAATTAGACAAAGCACTTGGCAGGGCCTGAGAAATGGCAAATGCCTAATAAATAGGGGCTATTATCATGATCTCTCATGCACAATTACTTATTGAACTCTGCTGGAGACCAGGCCCTGAGCCAGGGGAGGGGCCCCGGGAGGGAGCAGGTGCAGCTGCTCCCCTTCACTTGCTGACAGACGTGACCTCGGGGAGGAGACGCTGTGGGGCGGTTGGGTGTCCCAGCTCAGCTGACACCGGCACCCCCGGGCCTGCCCCCAACACCTCGGTTGTGAAATCAGCACACGAGTTCTTCATGTTGGACTTCCACTTCTACTTGATCCCTGCCATTCTTACCAAAACCTGCACTTTCTGGATTATAAAGATTATATACAACACACGGGTAAATACATCTAATGTTTTAAAACCCTGGGGAGCATAATGAACAGCTAATGCACATGTGTGTGAACTGCCCATCAGACGAATCCAAACATGATCTTTGTAGGAGACCCTTGGTCAGGGATGGGAGAAAGGGAGGGAAGAGCTTGGAAAGGTGGATTTTGGGGGAGGTCGCCATCCCAAAGACTCCCTCAGCCCGAGTTCTCAGTGGCCACCAGCCCTTCGCCGTAAGAGGGGCGGGCTAACAGAGCATGGTTTGGGTTCATGCTTGGTACAGGGCCCCCAAGTGTTCCACGTGGCCACATCCCCAGTTCATGGAAGCGCCAAGAGACTGAAGTATTGACAATCATTAGAGGGTAAAGAATACACTCACTTTGAGAAAGAGATTTGACTGAATAGGGTACTCGGTCTTCTGAGAAGAGGTTGGAGGGAGTTGAAACCAAAGGGCAGATGGAGCCTGGCTCTCAAATACAGGAGGTCCTCATACTCCAGCCTTGCAACCCTCCCTACTCGGCTGGGAGCACCTGAGACTAAGTGTCAGGTGATGGAGCCTCTCTCTTTGTGAGAGGGAAGCTGAGAGCTGAGCACCTCTCTCCTGCCCCTTGTCATTTACCCCGAGAGCCAGCTGCTCCATCCTCGGGAGGGAGGGAGGAAGGAGCAGGGAATGCCTCCCTCCTTGTCAGGGGTCCCTCAGTGGCTCACCTTCCTAATCCCTTCCTGGGGGAGGCACTGAAAGGCTGCGGTCTGTCTTTGAGGACAGCGCAAGGAAAAGTATCCCCTGCTCAAAGCTGTGAGTGCAATTGAAACAACGTCTCTTGGAGCACTGCAGAAGAAGTGCAAAACATTTCCAATAACAATAATAAACTGAGCCAGTCGTGCTCAAAGAGTGGTCCCTGGACCAGCAGCATCAGCGTCACCTGGGAATGTGTTAGACATGCAAATTCTCACCCCCCTCCCCATCACTCTGGGGACAGGGCCCTGCAAACTGTGCTGTAACAAGTATTCCAAATGCTTCTCATGGTACAATTCGAGACCAACTGACCTAAAGAATACATGATAACAAATCACACACCCTAACAGCTATGACTGAATTATTTTGAGGTTATTTTGTCTTTAGTTGCCACTCAGATTTAGCAGTTAATTGCACATTTCTGCCTCTTCCTACCCCACGTCTGCCCTGTGTATAAGGAATTCCCACCAAGCAGATACGTTGGAGGATGGCAACTTACTGGACATATCTTACAATCACCTGTTAACTTTCTGACTAGGCAACAGCTAGATGAAACTCACTTTATCTCAGTCTCCAAGGCAGGCAGAGGAACAATCTCAAATTGCCCCCTAGAAAATGGCAAGTCGTCCCCAAAGTGAGGCTGAGCCTACAGCCACAGTGCTTCGAGCCAGGTAAACCTGGTCATCAGTATAATATAATATGGAGGAATGCTGAGTCAAAGCAGCCACATAGAAACAGCACAGCTTTTATTCATGGTCGGTTTGTCCTTAAAGAGGTGAGTCAAGTTGCTGATCCGCCTTGTGATCAGAAATTGGGGGGTGGATTCTCTGGCAGCTTTGCCATGAAGTAGCCTTGGCTGGGCCTCTCTAATGGCTAAATCCCTCTGTTGCAGGGGACAATACACCCTCTCTTTAGCTTTCTCTCCTGGTGTTGCCAGGTGGGCTCACAGTACAAGGACAAAATACACTCCCGCTCTGCTCGAATCTGCAATGCCTTTGTTAAGAGCGTTCATTAAGAGCCTGGTATAAAATCTTGGACCTTGTCCACTGCGGACTCTTCCTGACATCTTTCTGTTTGTTTTCAGGAATTACTTTTATACTACGACCTCGTGGAGTCGACATTTGAAAAGTCCAAGTTGCCTAGCAGGAAAGTGGATGCTTTAGACCATTTTCAAAAATGCTTCCTGATTTTAAAATTGCACCATCAGCGAGTGGACAGTGGCAAGTCCAGCCAGCAGGAAGGGAAGACCTGGAAGGCCATCCGTGTGGACCTGGTCGTGTGCCCCTATGAGAACCACGCCTTCGCCCTGCTGGGCTGGACCGGCTCCCGAGTAAGCGCTACCTAGATCTGTAGACAGCATTAGCTTTCCAAAGGACACAGGCTGGGTCAAGGGACAATGGCGGCGGGGGCAGGGTGACAGCGAGGGAGTGGGGCCCAGAAACCTCCACACTGGGGCATTCCCCCTGCACATGGTCAAGAGAGACAGATTAATTTAGAACAGTTATTCTCAACGTGTGGTGCCCTGCCCAGCAGCATCAGCCTTACCCGGGACCAGGTTAGACCTGTGAATTCTCCACTACATCCCAGACCTACTGAATCAGAAACTATGGGGTGGAGCCCAGCAATTTGTGTTTGAAAAGCTCTCCAGGTGATTCAGATACAGCTAAAGTGTGAGACCCACCGAGGTCGAGAAAGCGGCAAGGCAGCCAAGAGCACAGGTTTGGCTCATCCCAGACCTGGTGACAAGCTTTACTCTGCCTCTTACCAGCTGCGTGATCTTGGACAAGTTCCCTATGTCCTTTAAGACTTAGTTTTCCCATCAGGAAAGTGAGGACGATGACCTCAGCTGCTCCCCTGGGTTGCAGAGAGTCGGTGAGATGAAGCTGGCAAAGCCCTCAGCACACACCAGTTACATGAGTGGGCAGTGCTCCCTGAGCGGGGGCTCCCAGCTCTGCTCACGTTATAGTCACAGAGCCGGCGCCCATGATTTGTCTCATTAGCATGCGCTCCACCCTCCAAACTAAGCACCCCACACTGTTTCACCAGTGTCTCAGAGTAGCTGGCTGTTGCTTTGAGTGAAATGAGTCCTTAGAGGGTTTTATATGGATGAATGACATAACATAAATTGTCCTCAACCTAAACATGGATATCTACAAAGATGACAAACACGAATGGCGCCCTCTAGAGTTCTGCAGTGTACAACTTGCACAACTGTATGCAGCAACCTTGGGCCAACCTCCGAAGTCTGTTGTGACCAATGATACAGACCGTATTACGATCACCCCTGCTCGATGTTCACCTTTCTTCATCTGAAACATAAGACAACATCCTCGCCCTGCCTATCTCACAGGGTTGCTGTGAGAAACTAAAGAGGTTTCAAAGCAGAAGGCAGAGGGGTGCAGGGGAAAGAGCCTGAGCTTCCGGACTCAGGAGTCTGAAACCCAGCTCTATCCCTGACTGTGTGGCATCGGGCAGTTACTTAGGGTCTCCAGGCCTCCTTTCTTCATCTGAAAAATGGGGCAGATAACAGCTCCAGCCTCACAGGATTGTAATGAGGATTACAAGAGACAGTGCCTTCATCTTAGCCCAATTTTGAGTCCAATAGTGTACTTAAAACTGTTCTTTTAGAGCTGATGTGAAACTCTCTGACAAGCTGTTAAGTACTAGCAGGAACAGAGCAGATCAGAAAATCAATACAAAGGAAGGAGTCAGCCCAGCGCCTGGCACAGGGTGTGCACTGCGTACGTGTTAACTAGGATTTCTGCCACCACCTTCCTAGCTGGTCTCTGCTTCTGCCCTTGCCCCCTACAGACAACTGGTCCTGTTAAAACATAAGTCAGATCAGGTCTCTCCCCTGTCAAAACCTTGCAGGGCTCCCCACTGAACTCACAGTAAGTGCTGAATGTCGGGTTGGCCCGGTGGCATAGTGGTTAAGTTTACACACTCTGCTTCAGGTGACCCAGGATTCGCAGGTTCACATGCCAGGCTCAGACCTGTATACTGCTCATCAAGCCACGATGTGGCAGCGACCATGTACGAAATAGAGAAAGACTGGCACAGATGTTAGCTTAGTGACAATCTTCCTCAAGCAAAAAGAGGAAGATTGGCACAGATGTTAGCTTAGTGACAATCTTTCTCAGGCAAAAAAGAGGAAGATTGGCAACAGATGTTAGCTCAGGGCCAATCTTCCTCACCAAAAAGATAAAATAAATAAAATCTGGAAGCCTTACAGTGGCCCTAGATGATCTTCCCACCCCCCTTTTCTCTCTGAACTCCTCTCCCACTACTCTCCCCTAAATGGCCAGGCCCGCTGGACCCTAAGGCCTCTGTTCTAGCTGTTCCCGCTGCCTGGCGTGCTCCTCCCCCAGAGTCCACGTGGCTGACTCCTTCACCTCCTTCAGGTCGTTGCTCAAATCCCTCCTCCTCCGTGAGGCCTGCCCTGTACACAGCACTTACCTTTTAACATTCCATATAACTCATGTATTTTGTTATTGTGTCTGGCCTGTGTCCCTGCTCAAATCCAGTCCCCACCGGGCAGACATCTTGTTTCATTCACTGGTATTCCCAGCACCCAGAACTCACCTGGCACAGTAGATGCTCAGTAAATATTATTACTCTCCAAAGGAAAGACATCACAGTTCCCAACAGTCTGTGGGGAAATGCTCCTGAGGTCGGGGCAGGAGTCCAGGAATATGTCTGAGCACACGGAACTGGGGAGCCCAGGACAGCCTCTCGTGGCGCCCCTCAGCGCCGCTTCGCCAGCCTCGTCTGACTCACGGCGTGGGCAGCCGTGGCTCTAAGCGCTGGGGGCCGGGAGGACAGTGGCCCGGGCTCGAAAGGGGGCCGTGCGCTAAGCAACACCCGGCTACTTCCACAGAGCAGCACCCACTGCACCCAGAACCTGCTTCACCCCGTGCTGCCACGACCCTGGCTTCCCCTCGTCCTCACTATAAAGGCCTTCTGGGCTGAAAGTCCGTCTTCCCGCCCAGCCAAGGGGCCACGGGGAAGGGCGGCACCCAGCCTCAGCCAGCTTTCCTGCAACAGGAAAGGGCTCCTCGCCACTAGAGGGCGCAGTGAGCCCACGCTTCCTCCCTCATCCCACGGGGAGAGGACCGCGTTGTGAGATCTGTGCTGCTCTCAGAAAAGGAACCTCAACGACACCTTCATTCATTGTCCTCCTTTTCTAAGGTTTTCCTGTCCTCTATCTAGGGCTTCAGGGTTTGCTCCCTGCACCTCACAACCCACCTCTGATCACGGGAGAAGCTATTCGGGGGCAGGTGGTTCAGACCATCAATTTTACAGAATCATATGAGAGGATGTTAGAGCCACAGGGGACGTCACTCGTGCACTTCCTCCATCCTCCCATTTGATTAACAAGATTCAGAGAGGCTGCGTGACTTGTCGAGAGATGCACAGCCAGATAGGGACAAAATCCAGGCTCAACTCTAGAGCTCCTCACTCCTGATCCTCTTTTACAATAGTGATCAAATTAAAAAAAAAAATTCAACTTATTTATCCAGCATTTACTCTGGACCAGGTATTATTCTGGACACAATCCTCGCAATATCCATTTATGCATTCAACAAACATTTGCCATACTTTTTCTATGTGCCAGGCACTGTTTGAGGAGGGAATATGGTTATGAACGAAACAAATCAGGCTGCTGTTCTCAATTAGCTGCCGTTCTAGTGTGCGCGTGCGAGTGCAGAGCTCTGTCGTCAGAGAGCTTTGTCCTGGGGGAGAAAATCGCTTCAAGAATGTTTACTGGAGAAAGATATTTCCACTATAGGGATTTAGATATCTCTAAGTACATAATCCTGAAGACATTCTAGACTTGATGGTAATTTATTTTCATTCTCTCTTGTCCAGCAGTTTGAGAGAGACCTCCGGCGCTATGCCACGCACGAGCGGAAGATGATACTGGATAATCACGCCTTGTATGACAAGACCAAGGTAGGGTCATCTCCCTGGGACGGGCTGCTTTGATCCTCATCCCCAAGGCTGGCTCCCTGAGCACTCTTCCTGCAGAGCCTCTTAACTAGGAGTTGTTCTGCAAGAGCCTTAGCTGACGCTTGTTGGCCAAGCAGGGGCCACGTGTCCATCCTTGATCCCATTACCGTGGCTCTGATTGGCCAGACTTGGGTCATGTGCCCCTCCTTGGAGGCGGGATCAGCCGCACCTGACCCTCATGAACTAAGAGCAGAGTGGGCGGGTTTCCCAAAGAAAAGTCGAGATGCTGCTGTCAGAAGAGAGGGCTGTGGATGCGGGCAGGAAAGCCTGAGCTGTCGTGTGTGTGTGTGTGTGTGTGTGTGTGTGTGTGTGTGTGTGTGTGTGTGTGTGTGTGTGTGTGTGTGTGTGTGTGTGTGTGTGTGTGTGTGTGTGTGTGTGTGTGTGTGTGTGTGTGTGTGTGTGTAGGCAGGTTCGCATAAGACAGTTTAGGAATGCTTTCAGATTAACACATAGGAAATAGTTCACCATCAGCGAGTGCCTCCCACGGCTCAGCACTGCGCTATAGACAAGAAGGGATGCCGGAGAGGTGGCGCTTGGTCTGAAAGAGATGGTGGGATGGGAGCCTGGTGGGGGCGGGGCAGGTGTGGCAGGCCGGGAGAAGCCGTCGCACACAAGTATCCTGTAATCGCCGCCCTCATTCCCCACAGCAGCAGTACTAATTCTGGCTGCACAGTACAGCTTTTAAATAGATTGATGACAGACCTCTCCTGAGATTCTGATTTCCTTGGACTGGAGTATAGCTCAAACTTCGTGGTTTTTGAAAACTCCTTCAGGTGGTTCTTATCAACAACTGTGGTTAAGAACTGCAGACCCAGAGGAGAAATACCAAAAGCCTTTAGCTGAATATATAAGGCTGCATAATTTTACCTTAATTTAAATACATATTTTTGGTTGGGAAAAACATAAAAATTATGGAAGTCAGTTAAAATGACTTTTTATGCTCACAGGCAGGGAATTATGTTTCGGCAATAATTCGTTCTGACAAGACAGTTTTACAAGTAATACTTTCACACTGTCAGCAGAGATGCTTAACAAAAATATCTGAATGCACATATTTCTTGTTATGTTTTCAGAGGATATTTCTCAAAGCAGAAAGTGAAGAAGAAATTTTTGCACATCTGGGATTGGATTACATTGAACCATGGGAAAGAAATGCCTAGAAAAAGTTGTCGACATGTTTTTCTGGTCTTTTTTTTTCAGGTTAAGTAAATTACGCTTCCTATTATAGTGAAAGATGCCTTAGGGAAGCTCGGGATTCTTGAAGTCTTCCTGAACTGCAGATTGCTTCTAGAAATAAGTAGTTTTGGAAACATGTTAAGGCGCCACCTGGTAATGGGTTGTGTTCTAATAGGCCACTTGCTGCTTAGAATTCACAGTGCATTTTCCACAGAAACAATGTAATTGGTAGTTTCTTTCATGGAAGCTCATCAAAGCCCACTTTGCCCACAGTGTAGCTGAAATACTGTATATTTCCAATAAAAATAGGAGGAGACAAGATGTTGGAGTCTGCTTTTTTTTCACTCAAATATAAAATATTCTTAAGCAAAAATGTAACAAAATGAGAGAATAAAGAGTTTAAGATTTATTTTGAGCAGAGAAACAGGTTTCCTTAGAAGATCAGAGATTCTGAAGGGCATTCTGGGTCCCTCTGGAGCTTTTGGAGGAGGGGTGCTGACTCCTGCTGTGCGGTGCTCCTTGCCCGTCCCTGTGGCGGTCTCCCTTGGCATTGCAGCACAAGGCCACGCACAGGATGTATTCCTACTGCTTTCACTCGGAAGGAAGTACAATTTCCTATACCCTCAAAGGAATATCTCCCTTTTTATCCATCTCTGAGTCTCTCTCTGAATCTTAGTGGCCTAGTCCCACTCAGAGTGACGATCTCTCTTGGCCTCTTCATCTTAGGGCACCCAAAGTAAGGGAGGCTGAGGCCACCTCTGGAACTCCCAGGTTCCAGACCCATTCGGACCTCCTGCTTCCTCTGGGAAGGTGTTGTCCCTGTGCCTTGAAGGGGCCGGAAAGCCCATCCGTTTCAGCTGCTTTGGTGTCCTCAGCCCGCTGAAGAGTTGAGGTCTCATGATGATCCTTCCCTTTTCCTTCCAGCCCCCTCAGGGAAGAGGAGATCAGGAGATCCAGGACCCCACAGAAAAGATTGATGTCCCACTCTGAGCACAGGGAAGGAGCCACCTTCCCTTCCGGTGTTGGAATCTGAGGATGGGGCGCGTATCAGTTACTATTGCCAAAAATTCAGTGTAACAGACCATCCCAGAACTCAGTGGCTTAAAACAATACAGATTGGCACATTGGCCAGGTGTTTGGCTGTTCTACGCTGGGATCTGCTTCTCGTGTCTCTCATCCTCCTCCTGAGGCCAGCAAGCTAATCTGGCCCTACGCTTCTCATGATGACAGCAGAGACACGACAGCAAGCAAACCCAAGTGTACAGACACTTTCCAAGGCTCTTTCCATGTCTGTTAATATCCAGTGGTTGAAGCTGGTCACGTGGCTGAGCCTCAAGGGATGGGGAACTATGCCCTGTCACAGTGGGAGGTATTGCAAAGTGATGTGGCAAAGGGCACAGATGCAGGGAGGGGCGAGGAACTGGTCCACAAATGCAAGCTGCTTCAGAGAGACAAGTGTGTAGTCTCCTTTCCGTGCTTTTCTCTTCCTGTGAACTGTCACTTACTCCTAGTGGATCTTGAGCTGGGAGAGGATGCTTCTGCTCAGCAGGGGCATTGAGCTCTGAAGGTGAGATGATGGAAGATGCAAAGGAGAGGAGGCACGGGGGCCGGCTCCAGAGGAAACTCGCCACAGTGTCTGGGTTTGAAGAGGAAGAAAGACCTTGAGGTTTCCTGCTAGTGCCCAGTCTGCCCATCAGGATAGATAAGGAACCACAACTCCCATCAACATCACATCCAACTACATTAATTATATGCTCAGGTACTCTGTGGAGTGTTTCACAGCATTATCCCATTTAATCAGCCCAATAAACCCTGAGGGGGGTAGGACATCTAATTTACAAATGAGAGACATCCGAGGTGTCCAGAAGTTATGCTCCTTGCCCCAAGTCTAGTTAATATGCAGCAAAGCCAGGGTTTGAGCCCAGGTCCAAGTCTGTCTGACTCCAAAGCCCATGCTCTTGTGCCTTGAGCAGGAATGGTCAGGAGGGGGCCATTAGCTGTGTTCACTCAGTCATTCAACAAACACATTGATAGCGTGACTGTTCATCCTGGTTTGCATGGGACAGTTGTAGTTCATACCTGTTGTCCCTGCATAATTATGATAGCACACTCTTTCCCTCTTAAAAGTTTCTGGTCTGGAGGATAAATTATATGCCTATTCATACGCCCCGTACCTACTGTGTGCTAAGTGCTGAACTGGGCACTGAGGACTCAGAGATGAACAAGGCACAACCCCTGCTCACAGGGAGTTTAGTGGCTTCTCTGCTTGTTACCTTTTAGGAACCAAAGGCCACCCAGGGGGAGTCATGCAGACCCTGTGAGGAGAGGGAATCCCCAACAGACCTTCCCTGAGACTAGAGGGAGGAGCCTGAGGTGCCCTTGGGAACCAGCCTGGCTGGGCCCTGACATGGGGGGCCCCGGAGCTGGGAGCCCCACTCTGGTTGATCCACAGGAGCCTGAGGCGAAGGGAGTGCACATGATGAAACCTGTCCCTGGTGGTGTGTGGGGAGAGAGAGTCAAAGGAGAGGCTGATCTGTAGTCCTAGCTGGTGGCCATTAGCCCATATCCAGGGGAACAGGGCCAGACGGGAGCACTGAGGAAGCGCTGAGGAGGGAGGGCGACGTGGATGGGGGAGAGGTGTCCAGCCAAAGCTGGCTTCTGTGGGACACTGGGAATCTGGGCTCTCGTGGTCAGCTCTTCCGCTGCACATCAGGGCTTCCTGTCTCACCACACTTTTCCACGACATCACAGCTGGCCATCGTCAGCACATTCCTCTGCTCTGGGCCTGGGCTCAGGCAGCGTCTGGGAGATGGGACTTGATACCAACACATGGCGGGAAAGTGGCTGCACCCTCAGGAAGCGAGGATGATGGTGTCAGTTCATGGATTCCGGGACCCCAAGCCTGACGACTGAGAAGCACTTAGAACTGAGTGAGCAAGTGGGTGAAGAAGGACGTTTGAATCAAAGCTCCTCCAGCCAGCGCATCGAGCATAAAGAGGGCGAGGGACGAAGACCTCACGGAGCGCAAGGCTTGACAGCAGAGCAGAGCTGAGCATCCTCTGAACCACTCCTTGGAAGGGACAGGACCAAGACCACCTCCACTGACCCCCAGAGGCCCTGTGCTCGGCCTTGCTTCTCTCTGTCCACAGCCCAACAGTCCTTCAATCTCCTGTTTCTGTTGCTTGAGACAGAATCTGATAGGGCCAGCTGGCAAGATCGTTGATCTAGGCCAACTGGTCATTGGTTGCTCTCTAGCTGACAGGTTGCTTGCCTTTGGGTCAATTTGCATGAGGTCCAGTCAGCTATGACGTGTGTGTGTGTGTATGCATGTAGGGAGAGGTGGCTGTGGGTAGGGGGGATTCCTCCTGGAAGGGCTGTGGCCATTGGAGGCTGCGAGTTGTACCTCGGAGCAGAGACCCTCCCGTGCAACCTGAGGCCCCAGCCTTCCTCCCTGCGTGGCCCACTCTCTGAGTTAGAGGGGCTTCAGGGTCTACCCCGCAGGATCCCACACCACTTCTGCCACCAAAGAAACTACATCCTCCTCAAGGTGAACGAGGAGCCAGCAAGGAGGTCAGGCCTCCTGCAGAGGGGGAAGGGGGGATCAGGGCAGTCAGGACTTAAAGCTGGGATCCAGAACTCTCCATTACGTCAGCTCTCACCAGGAGAGGCCTAGAAAACAAGAGAAGAAAATGAACAACGTGACGGTGCCAGGATGAATGGCTGGTCAGCACAACAGTAGGAGGGCTACCACCTGGAGCGGAGACGGACCAGCAGGCTTAGCCACTGAGGAGAGAGTCCTGCGGGCAGAGAGGCCTTCCCAGCCCAGGAGGGGTCTGAGCAGGTTTGCAAGGAAGGGAGGACTTGGATCCACACGGACCGGTTCTGGCATAGAGGCCCAGGAAGGGGCACTGAATTCTATAGGTGTGACAAGGGCAGCTGAGCCAGAGCTTTCGTCTTTGCAATGAATTTCTAGAAATGAACTTCCAAGGCTTCTCTTATACCCTGAAAACTCGAAAGGGAGAAAAAGAAGTTTTTGTTATGTATGACAGAGGTCAAAAACTGGCAGCCAGTGGGCCAAATGCAGCCCAAAGATGTGATTTGTTTGGCCTTCACTGTGTTTTAGGAAATTTTAAAATGAATGGTCATTGCTTAAAACTCGATAGAGTATAACTTTTTTAAAAAAATAGGAGTTGTGGCTTCTCTTGGGAAATGAAAGGCACGGCGGCAATTGGCTGAGTTCCCATTTGGCATCTTGGGTGGAGGTGAGCGGGCTGCCCTCTGTGGCTGGGCCACACTCTCCGGGTCAGCCCCAGCCCCAGTCACCACTCCCGCTCAAGGTGTCTGAGCAGCGCCCTCGGCTTGCATTCCTGAGCTCAGCTGGGGGCAGGAGCTGTGGCGCCATCACTGGCGCACCGGGCAAGTCCTGTCTCCCTTTGGGCTCGTTTTCTCACCTGTAGGATTCGGGGGTCAGCCCCAATGGCCAAAAGGCCCCTTCCAAGTTATAATGATGACGCAAGAGCTACATTCCACCTCTGCCAGTCAATATATGGAAGCGAGCCCACAGGAAGCCAGATGCATGCCAGGAAGGCCACCACTCCCCCTACCCTTTAGACAGGGACAGTTGATCTGCTGGACCCAGAAGCTACTTGACACGAGTGATAGAAAGGTTTTTTCAATGAATCAGATGAAAACTTTTTCTTTTATTGCAGTAAAATATACGTAACATAACTTTGCCATTTTAACCATTTTTAAGTGTACAATTCAGTGGCATTACATATATTGACAATGTCGTGCAACCATCATCTACTATCCATTTCCAGAAGTCTATCATCATCCCAGACAGAAACTCCATGCCCCTTAAACGATAACTCTGTGGTCCCCCCTCCTCCCAGCCGCTGGCCACCTCTGTTCTACTTGCTGTCTCTACAGCTTGGCCTATTCCAAGTATCTCATGTAAGTGAAAGCATACAATATTTGTCCTTTTGTTTCTGGCTTATTTCACTTAGCATAATGTTTTCAGGGTTCCTCCATGTTGTAGTGTGCCTGCCTTCATAAGGCTGAATAATATTTGACTATATGGATGGATATGCCGCGTTTTGTTTATCCATTCATCAGTTGATGGACATCTGGGTTGTTTCCACCTTTTGGCTACTGTGAATAATGCTGCTATGAACACTGGTGTACGATTATCTGTTTAAAGTCCCTGATTTCAGTTCTTTTGGGTGTAAACCTGGTAGTAGAATTACTGGCTCATGTGGTTATTCTGTGTTTAACTTTTTGAGGAAACTCCATACTGGTTGTTACAGTGGCTGTG